CGTCGGGCCTGCCGCGAGGGCTCCTCCCGGGGCCGCCCCCGTCCGCCCGGCGGTGCTGGGCAGGGCTGGCCGCGTCCTTACCTCTGCCTGCTTTGAGGCAGTAAGTGGCTTTTCGGGAAACTTGACTCCCCTGTTGTGTTCTTTGCAGTCGATCGTATGATCAGAGAGAACAGTCACATTTTCACAGACGCCCAGTGTAAAGTGTGTAGTGCTCTGCTCATCTCAGAGTCCCAGAAGCTTGCTCATTACCAGGTTAGATCACAGGCTGTAACGGAACTTCTTGATTTGTCTTTAATTAAAGAGGGTATACGACAAAGCGTTAAACAACAGTTGGGTTTTTTTTCTTTCTTTCTTCAGAGCAAGAAACACGCAAACAAAGTGAGGCGATATTTGTCTATCCATGGTGAGGAGGAGCTTGCACATGGAAAGAAAATGAAGCTGGATACAAAGCAGGTAAAAGTAGTTGGTTTTTTTTTTTTTTTTTTTTTTTTTTTTTTTTTTTTTTTTTTTTTTAACTTAGAAAGTTAATTGTTACACGATATGGAGGCTTTTGTAAGTAAATGAAGGAGGTACTCTCAGAAAGGATATCGCCAGAATTGAGTAGCTCAATGGCAGTTTTGTCACTGAGCCATGTTTCAGTGAGTACAGTTCCTATTGCCTTTCCTATTTAAACAACTGCACATTTCCTTTTGTTGGAAGTCTTCCCAGGAGTGATGTGAAACGACAGGGAAAACTGTATAGGAATGACTTTTACTTTCAGTGAGAGCATGTTGTGGAGTGACCAGCTACTGGAATTCACTTTCTAGGGTGATCCCTTGCTACTTAGGTTTCTTTAGCTGGTAGTTAGAAACTATTGGTCAGTGAAGGGAAAGCATTCCACTTGGCCATCTGTCTGCCCCATGACTCATTTGGGAAACAGATTCTACTTTTATGATTGCTTCAGCTTTAATCCCTAACCCTCAAACATTTGTAGCAGAGGGGAGGGGGGGGATAAAAAAAGATTCCTTTGCACATAATGTTAAGCTTAGAAATGGCTGCTGTTGACTGCTCAGCTAGCATCGTATTGCAGATGACCCAGTTGATACTGATGTCTGTGTTGCTCAGCTCACACCTTGCAGAGAGTAGAAAGCTGGCTGTTCCAGTTCTGGCAGCCACTCGTTTAACCTTATCCTTAACCCTTGTAGGCTGGGACTGCCCCTCTAGCTAGAGTGTCTCACTAACGGGTGAAAGCGAGAAACTAGTCTGAAATGACCTCGCTGTCCAGTGAAGGAAAGTATGGTGCTGCATCATGAAAGTCCTGTTCGGTCATATCTGCTACACTTAACGCTTAAATGTCTCTGATTATCTTGTTTTCCTAGATATCTAAACCTTGCTATTTCCTCTCCTAAACAGGAGAGCAAGCAGGAGAGCAGCAATGGGGAAGACAGGAACAAGTGTTGTCCCATCTGTAATATGACCTTCTCTTCTCCGGCTGTGGCAACCTCTCACTACTTAGGCAAGACTCATGCCAAGAACATGAAGCAGCAGTCCCCCAAAGTGGAAGGTATGTCTACCTGCAGTGCCTTTGTCTTGTACAAAGGGAGGCTGTCCAAGCTAAAATTTGCTGCATGTAAAGATTCCAAGTTGAGAAGTGGCATTGGACCCCGTGTGTAAGCTTTTGTGGGTATGCAAATGCTCTTAAATACGAAACGGGGTAGGCTAGCAGTGCACTTCTCGAGACATAATGTTTCTCTGCAGCCTGCTTGGTAGGCTGGCGTTAAGTAAAAGTTGAGTGGGCTTGTGTTTTGTTTAGGATAAACACAGCTCTGCAGCTGTGTTGTATCCATTTCTGTATGCTGGAAATGGGAGAGAGGTCTTCATGGAACATGAAGTTAAGCTGTAGAAATGTTTGTTACAGCGTATGGTGTCTGCTTAAAAACTTACAGGGCCTGAAATGATTAGGGAGAACGCATAAAATAAAAATTCACTAGGGCTGTTCAGCACAAAGATGTAGCCTCTGTGATTCGGGGCTGAGTTGCAGAGAGCTAGAAACTGGGAGAATATAGCTGGAGAGAATCAGTATGTGCTTGTCCTGACCTTGTGCTCTTCCCACGGCATCTGCTGTTGACCACTGTCAAGACCGGGTACTGTCCCGGCAGACCTTGAGTCTGACCCAGTAAAAGCTGCCTGTGTTTCCCGCCCCTTTGTCAGCAGATGGAAAGGTCTGGTGAGGAGAGGGATAGGGAGCAGTTAAAGACATCTGAGAGTCCTGGGTGGTGTAGCCATTCAGGACAGAAGAACAATGGAGCCTCTGGGTGCCCCTGAGGAGGATGGCTTGTGCTAGCACCAAGCTGTGGTTAACATGAGCGGTCTGGAGCATACCCGCCCTTCAGTCTGGGAAGAGTTCTCAGGTACTTAGAAAGTTTGTCTGTCTGGTGTTCAAGTACCCCTTAGCAGGAAGATGTAGCAGGTGTCTCCATCATACAGGAGCGCTCAGTTCTCTGTGTGAACTCACTTCATTGGACCTAATCCTCTTCATGCTATTTCTCAAGCAAGACTCTTCTTGACTTTGGTTCAGGATCAAGTCCTACGGTTATGCATTGTTTCTAGAAACCTGCTTGCTTTTTCTATGGAAAGGTTGTGTTCTAACTGCCTCCCTTTTTCTTTGCCTGGATGATAACAGCAGAAGGGGAGACAGTCTGTGTCGTGCCTTTTGCATAAAGCCATGCTTATGTTAAGTCTATTAAGGAGAAATGTGCACATCTGATTTTTAACCCTGGAAGTACTTCTGGCGTACTCTAAATTATGTGATTCAGAGGTGTTAAGGGAGGAGGTAGGAGCACCCTGAATTTATTTAGAGGTCTTGCATTCTCAGTCTAAGATTGTGGGGGGGGGGGTGGATTTGAGGGAAATGAAATGACTGCTTTTTATATCCAAGTTCTGTGGCTGATGAACGGTTTCGATTCACCCTACAGAAGTGGTGCCCCCCCAGAAACATCCTGCCACCCTCCCTGCCTCTACCGTGTCCTCTAATGAAGAGAACAAGGACGTTACTGACCCAGACAAGTTCTGTAGCCTCTGCCATGCTACTTTCAACAACCCCCTCATGGCAAAACAGCATTATGTAGGCAAGAAGCACAGAAAGCAAGAGACCAAACACAAGCTGATGGCACACTACGGCCGAACCCCCGATGCACCAGCGTCGTCCTTCATGGGTGAGTTCTTAGCAGGCAGGTTAATAAATAGCTGAAGAGCAAGGTGGGGGAGTAACAGTATGTGTCTCACAGGTCTTTGGGCCAGACAGTCCGTGTGGAGGGAACAAGGGAGAATTGCTTGTGATGGGGGATAGTGATTATTCACTGTAAGATTGATTTGATTGATGTTGTAAACCCCCGGCAGGAAGAGAGGAGTTGAGACTGCAGCTACTTGTGGCTAGCTTTGGGTTGTGTTCTGCAATATTGTCTAATCGGGTATGTCCATTTTACTCTCTCTGCGGGTAACCCGGGGATTTTGGCCAGTACTGTTTCTAGCTGGGTGGATTGCGTCCAAAACGGAAAGATAGAAGTGGCATTTGATACCAAAAAAAAAAAAAAATCCTCAGAGGAGACCAGCCAAAGATGGAAGAAACAGGTTTAACTGCAGCTGCTGTTTCAAAGTACACAAAAGCCAGAGAGATTTCTGCCTTTTTGCCTCTGTGTGGGCACTTCCATCTGATGAACTAATGTAGCGCTCTCTGAGGCAGGCAGGAATGTGAAAAATTGAGCTATTAAGGAGGAACTTTAGGCAGACAGTTAAAACTCTTCACATGGTTTATGATCTGCTGCTTATGAGTACTTCTAAGTGATGAAAGCTCTTGGAGTCCAGTGAAAGCGTTAGCCCACAGTAAACTTCCTTGTTCCTCCCAGCAGCCCTCTGCTGGACCAGGAAATCTAGTACCTGCTGGATGCTTGAAGAGGATTTTAAGACAATGTATCTGCTTGTTTTTTTACCTCAAGGGTTTCTTTCTCTGTCATAAAAGCCCCCATAAGCAAAAAATTAATTATTCTAATTCTTTGCAAGCCATCTTTAGATACTGGTAGCACGTATGAGAAATGAGGCTCAATTATCCCAGCAGTATTCTCTCCCACATTGCGTAGTCATGTGGGAGGTGGAAAAGGTGCTTGATATCTAGTGTTATCCATCTGTTCTTTACCTAATTAGTGGGGCCCTGATCAATGGCTCCTTTTTATTGTGACTCAGGATGTGACAGTGGCCGGAGCCCCAGCCCCGGCAGGCTGGGTTAGTGGGTAGTTCTGTGTGGCTGATGTCTTCTATGAAGCGCTCACAGAACTGGAGTATCTACGTCCACATCTCCATGGCACAAACTGTTCCAGGCAAGTTTCGGAGCTTGGGCTATAATCGGGAGTTGTTCTCATGTGATGGGTGGCTCAAAGGGCTTCAGTCAGGATTGTTTTCTCCTGCTCGTTTTGCCCCTCTCTGAGTGCTATCAGCCATGCCAAGCTGGCATGCTGTCAGATTTCTTTGCAGCACAATCCACTTGTTCTCTCTTTTATAAAACAGAGCTCAGATTCTGGTTTATATCTCTGTGAGGGCTCTGGTATCTCTTTTTCTGTCATGTCCCGTCCCTAAACCTATCTCTGCTGGGATCTGACTGGCAGCAAATGAAGGTGTTCTTTTCTTCATAGAACAGCACCCAGATATTGTCTGCTTAAAGTTCCTCTAGGAAGCATCAGCTTGGGGTGCAGGAGTGCAGTTTAAAAGACTTAGTACACACACCTGTTTGCCAGAATTGCAACAGAGAGATCTTGACCTCTGTCATGCAGGGCTGTGGATGTGATGACTGTAGTGGATCTTCTGGCCTTTCATGCCTGTGTCCAGCTCTCTGTTTTGAGAGTTAAATGGCCCACTAGAGTCTGAAATCTCTCTGCGGTGAAGCAGCCAGATAGGGAAATGTATGCTGCATTGTGCTGTGCTTCTCAGTCTCAAAGATTACATTGCTCTGCATCCCTAGGGTGAATGTCTGAAACTTCTTTCACCTTAAGGAAATATTTCTTTGTGTGTGAGACTCTAAGGCAGAGCTGTTCTCCAGGGAGCTTGAATTTGAGGGTAATTAATGTCTTGAGGACAACTGCCAGGAGTTTCTCCTCTTACAGGCTCCTGTAGTGAGCTGTACTACCATGCTTGCTTATGTGGTATCTGTGACCTCCAGAACTTTCATTCCAGCTGGAGTTGTCATGTTACACAACACCATTGATCTATCTAGTACACATATTGTTGGAAACTTTTTTTTTTTTTTTCAGTTAACTGATACACTGACTGTAGCTGAACTACTTAAGGATAAGAGTTTAATATTCTCAATTCGCACTTCAACAAAGCTTAACAGAATGCTGCTTTGTGGAACTTGACATCATGTATAGTCTTCTCTGGCTTTTTCTTTAAATTGAAACGCTTCAAACTTACAAATTTAAGTATCTCTGCTACGTTCCATTATGAGATATAAAGGTCAGGAGAAGTGAAAATTTGGGAGAGAAGTGGGATTGCAGATGTAGTATAATACCAGGTTTGGTTTCCTAATGCTGAGATTTTGCTAGGCTTGACAGCGTGAGCTCTTCACAGGAAATCCGTATTAATTTTTAGAGATGAACAAACCTGTGTGACCAGGAAAACTTTTCTGGCTTAATGATTCCCTCACAGCACTCTTTGGTGACTGACGAATGTCTTAGAATCCAGCCACCCCGTCAGAGGCTTGTGACCTCCTTGCCTGGTCGGGATATTGACTTGCTGTTTCTCTTTGTTTAGCAGTGAACTAACGCATCGAGTGATTGATTATCTCACTTGTTTCTACCTCAGGCACCAAGTTGTTGGCTAGCTGTGTGTGTTAACATTGATGTCTGTTTCAGCTGGGAAGGGGTACCCCTGCAACACATGTAACATAGTACTGAACTCCATAGAGCAGTACCAAGCTCACATCAGTGGCTTCAAACACAAGAATCAGTAAGTAACTTTCTTGTTTAAGTGTGTTTCCAGCCTCGCTGTTCAAATCAATGGCTTAACTGTAACCTAAAATTCAGTTTTGAATGCATATTTCAAGCTGACTTGCAAGCAGAATAATAACGTTTTGTGAAAGCTTGCGCTGTTTGTTCTGAAGCAGATTCTCCAGCGCTGCTTTCTTCCGCAGCGCCCTCTGCAGACAGCTCTGGGGTGCTGCTGAAGTAGAAGTGCCCTTGAATTGCTTTTGGTCCTTGATGGCTGAGACCAATGTGGACCTTTGAAGTGAACGCATCCAGCCTGACACCTATTAAACACCGTTTCTATAGCCACTAAGATTTTAATTTAGTTCAAGACTGGCTTAGCGGAGGTCTGCTTACCGTTCTAGTCTCTCTCGGAGTTGCTCGTCTTACAATTCGTGATGTAGTCAGCACGCTCTGGAAACCTAGACTGTACTGCTGAACTCACTCTCATGGTTAGTGAGTTAAATAGCAGGATCCTCTGCGAATATTATTGACCTGAATATTTTAGGCTGCTGGGGAGATAATTCGTGATACCAAAAATACTTATTTTGGACATCGTCAAAGTTGGGATCTTTAATTCCAGAGCCTTAACTAAGAGATAGTCAGTAGTGAAGCCAGGTTGTTTGGAGAGCGTCTTAGAAGAAAGAGCAACGCATTAGAAAACCCTGCCCAAAGTGCAGACAGACTCCTAGCCGAAATACTCAGAGAGGGTAGGGGGGAAAATGGACCCTTCTGTTGCTTACATGTGGAATAACGGCCCTGTGGCATCCTAGCTCTGTGGAGTGCTTGATAAGAAGACATATGCTCCATCTGTCATCCCACAAAAGTTTCAGCTCTTGGAAGAGCACCGCAGGAGCAGCGCATAGCAAGTATCCAGCCTGAATTCATCCCACTCTAGAAAGATAGCATCGAGGACATTCCCAACACACATGCACGCTGTTCACATTAAGGGCATAAACGTTCAAGTTTTTGGAGCTACACAACTCCTTCCAGAAAGCTGCTTCTGGACTTAGCTCTGACATTGTGGTCCAGGCCAGCTCCTGCAGTCTGAGAGGAGAGCACGGATGCTTGCTTTGTAATGGAAGTCTTTAGCTGTGCAAAAGCTAACTCTGCCGTGCTAACAGCGGCTGTTTGCGCACACATGCATGCCCACGCATGGAGGATAAGAATGCACTTGGGTGCTTTTCTGGCAAGTCTGTTGACTTCGCTATAGTAGGCCATTACTCCACTGATAGCAGTGTTTACAGCTGACAGATTTCAGAGCAGTTCTGACATTCTTTCTCCGTTCTCTTCTTATTGCTCCCTTGGATGTCCAGGATGCCAGGAGCAGTGTCGATTGTAGGACCGTTTCCACCACAGCAGTATGTTCGAGAAGAGTCAACTGCCCCAGGAGGCTACAGTTATTTCAGCCAAGACTTCTAGAGCAAGTTGCAGCGCTGTTCTTGGAGTTGTTGGTGGCCCAAGAACACACATCCTTTGCCAGCCCACAATGGTTTCATTATCCCTGTGGATAAGCAAAGCCCTGCCCTCCTGTATGCACCCGTTGAGCAGAACGGGGCTGAATCTGTCAGAAAAAGGATCCAGCTGGAAAAGACTTGCTAGACAGCAAATACTTCACTCCCTTAGAGTAGTTTTCATTGTGTAATTGCTTCCTGTAAAGGCGGGTGCGGTGTGAGAGGAAGTGTGTATCTGGAATAAGGAGGGTTTGGCAACAGGCTGGTGAAGGCTACCTCCTCCCTCACCAGAGCAAATGGATTCTTGCACCTGGAAGGCCAGCATCCCATGCTGGAAGGTGTCTGTTGCTGGAGGAGAGCTCCTAGACCCTAGCAAGCAGTGCTTATGCAATGTGGATGGGACACTGTGCAGGCTGCCTGGCTTTTTACAGACCTAAAATAGGAAATAGCGGAATGGCATCTCTTTTTGTGCCTCCTCTGGTCAGGTTTGTGTGCAGAATTTTTTGAGCCACTGCTTGCTGTTACAGCCTCTTGTAGTGTTGCAGCTGTCGGTTCTGGAGCTCTGTTGTCTAGGTCTAACAAGTAGTTACAATTTCTGTTGTACAAGCTGCTGCTAGTAGGAGTGGAGGGCTGAAAGAGGAGTTAGAGCTCCTGGCTCTCCAGACAGCTCAGCCCTCTGCTCTGAGGATTTCCATGTGGAAGGAAGTAACTGTTTAGCCTGGTTTCCTATGGAAACAGGTGTATGTGATCATTCACCATGTGTGTCTTTGTATCCCCTGTAACTTAAATCAACCCCAGCCTAACTTGGCAGTGATGGAGATCTCTAAGATCTAAATGCAATCAGCAAAGAAAGCTAAGAGTGAGATAAACTTATCGCTAACTTTAATTCTGTCAGGATCTGCATTGAAGTGCAGCATTTTCCCTTTTGCCACCGAAGTACTCTGGGGAAGGAGAGCTTTAAGGAAAAAAGGAGAGAATAAATCTGGATCCAGCGGAAAACTGTGGTATAACACGGTTGAGTTGTCAGCTGACCAAAAAACACTACAAACTCTCTGGAAACTTGCCTTCATTAGACCTTTGCCTAGACGCCACTTGCCCAGCCCTTCTCCATGAAGTTCTTACAGATTTGTGTCGCCCTGGAAAAAAGATGTTCTATATTTCAAACATGGAAATTGAAACTTAATGGTCTCTTCATGGTGCTAATGCATTAGCTCTGTTAGAAAAAGCCCTGGAAGGAAGGGCAGGCTTCTGCGACTGTTGTGTGTTTTGGATGAGTTCTTTAAACGTTTTACCCTTAAGCTAAGGCTTTGCCTGTTCTCTGCTAGCCTGCCACAAGAGCCATGTGCGTTGGACTGGCCTTATGTTCAGTGCCAGTGCTCCAAGTCGGACATCCCAGGGCTTTGTCCCAGCCTCAGTGCCTCCACGGAGCTGAGACTTTGCTAGCCCATGGCTATTCTCCTGCTGCTTTTCTTCCATGGGCCAGAAGAACAGCGACGTGGCTCCTCTCAGGACTTGTCTGGCCAGCAGGGCTTCATGGAGCTGACAGGAGTGTGGGTGATGGCTGCAAACACACTGTGCTGTTGGGGTGGGCTGAGCAGAGCTGCTGCTTCCCATGGCTTCCCATGGCTTCAGCAGCTGTTGGAAGGGCAGGCTGGGGCCCTTTACTCCAAATATTGTGTTCCAGGGTGAGCAGCTGACGCCCTCGTGAGGCTGAGAGCCAGTCTTTGTAGAGGCACTTCCAAAAACCAGCATGTGCACTGATCAGCTTAACCGGGGGAGAGAGAGTAGGATGTTAATCTCTGTACTTGGAGCGAGTGCCTTCCCTTCCCTGCTCCAGGGTGTGCGTATTCTTTGTTCTTCACCCTGCACAGAATCTGCTATCTTCCATTAGGATAGGCTCCTGCTGGTCTGGGTTTGCCTTCCTAATGTTTTCCAGTCTTGCACTACTGCTGAGGTCTGACCTTTGTCTCCTGCTAAAGAGGGAGCGCTTTTAAATCTTGCAAGTTGATCAACGAGCAAAAAACTGCAATGAACTGAAGGAAGCATTGTGTGCCTCGTAGCACTGGATGGCCTCCAACTCCGAACTCTGCTGCTTAGCTCTCGTCTCGCTGTATGAGGGCAGGTGCCTGCTAGATGTGTAATGCATTGACACCGAGAGGGATCCATTTCCAGCACTGCCCAGTCTGGTGCGTCACTCCACTGTCTGTGTACTGA